ACCTCAACCTTCCCACGATGCTGCCGGAGACGCAGCACACCTCAACCTTCCCACGATGCTGCCGGAGACGCAGCACACCTCAACCTTCCCACGATGCTGCCGGAGACGCAGCACACCTCAACCTTCCCACGATGCTGCCGGAGACGCAGCACACCTCACTGCCGGAGATGAGCTCTGAGCAAAGCGAGCAGGATAATTGTATTTTATATCAGTTGGAAGTGATGAAAGAAGCAGATGCACACTGGAAGCTAAATTACAGCCCGCGATCGATTTAGTCTGCTGACTGAAAGCGCTACAACGGAGGATGATCCCAAAGCAAATATTTTGCACCTCTTTGATGCACGGGGGGGAAGGGGGGGGGGCACGATACTCGCTGGGAGTTCATTACGTGACGCTCGGCTCAAAATTGCGATTAATCATTTAAGCTGAGCGTGCGGCTTCCTCTGGAGTCTGTTATCTGCGCTGGCTTCAGCTTGCGGAAGAAGTTATTCTCCTCAGCTTGGAGGTGAAGTTTCTCTCATATTTTACAAAGAGGATGAGTGTGACCCCCCCCCCTCCCCTGGGCAGTAATAAAACAAGGCCTCTGAATATTACATCAGTTAGAGCGGCCCGGCCTGCTGAATCAGCACACGGTGAAACTCATAAATACTGCATACTGTGTTGTTGTGACACTGTCCTCAGAATTAAACGACATTAAGAGCCTTATTGGGCTGCCTAGTCTCTAAATAGGCACCCAAGCACTTTGAAACCAATATACCATGTGATGGACTAATCTCTTCCTAGATCAGCCAATTGCTCCTAAGCATTGCTTACATCATTCTCCTATTTGTTAGTTTTGCTGAAGCATCCACTTCCATCTTTAGCACATTATGACCACAAAGCCACGAGTTGAATCACTTCCAGAAATTATTTCAAACTAAATGTATATTTCATTATCCCCATATATCATTAAAACAAACAGCTTTTGTAGTCCACTTTGGTCAGCTCCCATAAACTCCTTTGGCGTGCTTAAATTTTAGCTAAATGTGTTTCAGGTAGCTTACGTTATAGGCAGCTATGTTTTACGGAGATTATATTTAGGATAGCTATGCTTTAGTCACTCTTACAACACATAAGCAACTTAGGTAACTTAACAACTGGATTGTAGAGACACAATTTTGACAATAAATTGCTTTTCGCTTGACCGTGTAGCATGACATTGACCTACTTTGTTAGCAAACACAAAAACAGTCCATCTCCTCTGAATTATCTAAATTGTTTTCAGCCTAAGGCTGGGAGGCTCAAAAGTCGACAGAAACACAAACAACCATGACCCCCCCCCCCCAGCCGATGACTGTTCTCAGCACAGATTGTCCCAAAAATGCTTCCAGGCAGGACAACTCAAAAAATGATCAATGTTTTAATGGCCATCTTGCCCCCGAAATGACTAAAATATTAAGAGGACACAAAACTCATTCAGAAGTCATTCATATTCAAAATGCATTACCAGTGTTGAACGTGAGCCATTACCTACAAAGATGAAACTCTAGGCAGGATGAAACTCTAGGCAGGATGAAACTCTAGGCAGGATGAAACTCTAGGCAGGATGAAACTCTAGGCAGGATGAAACTCTAGGCAGAGGCAAACACTGCATGTCAGCAAGAACACCATAAAAAGGGGGGTGCTAGGACAATTCCAGGGCCCCAAAAAATCTGGAATCTAACTGGATTAGTCCGGGTTGGGGGCCAAATACGATATTCATTCATGGGGCCTCAAATCTCTATCGTGACGAAGCAGTGCTTACGGTTCTAGAGCAGCTATTGAACACCAATTCTGCGTACTCTGTATTTCTATGTTTCTACTCGAAAGTTCTCTGTTCTATTTTTATGTCACCAGAACCATGAAGTTTATCACCCGCAGAGTATCTCTGCATGCAAAACAAGCATGTCTGCATAGCTTCTCATTCCTGCATCTCCCAAGGCCTTTGCAACCTTACAAATCACATTTAAGGGCTGGAGAAACAATATCCGAAGAATTCTAATTCTTAACCTTCCCGGTTTAATGAACACATTATGCGAGATGTGAAAAGGGTGTCTGGACGTGATTTGAAACAAGAAAAAATCTATCCGTTATTGCTCTGCATTTTTAATAACATAATATTACTGTGGACTCCGGTGCGTCAGGCACATAGATTTTTCAAAGTGTGCCAAGCTTTTTAAAACAGACAGACAGCTTTCCATGGAACCACATACAGACACCCACCTGAGTGAAGATAATAGCAAACGACAATACATACGGTCAACTAAAACATGCAGATTCTCTCACCTAATGGATTATGAGTCAATATGAAGAATTCAGCAACGTAACCAGGCTGCCAGACAGGCTACTTTTTTCTGGACAGTTTCAGAGCCGAGATCCTAAATACTGGAAAAACTCCACCAAATCTCCACTTCAGTACTCAAATTACTCTCACCGTATTGCTGGAAATTAAATTCACTGACAGTCAGTGACTTAATGTTTAAACATTTAAAGGCACACATAGGTAAGAAACAACTTGCCATCTAATGAAACAGTTGTCGGAAAATTCTCATATAGTACAATCTGTTTGGTAATTGACTAAGAGTCAGGACTTGCGAGAAGACTCAAATCTGGGAGCATTTAATGATTTATGACCAACCACTGAGAAAGTCAATGAAAAGATGAGTGACAAGGATTATTCTGAGCCTATAAAGATCCCTGGACGACCAAAAGAGACAAGCATAATACTCACTAAGTCATTTTGACACACTTTTTTTGGGCAAATTGTTAGAATGTTGAATATTCCTCGATAATCTGTGATTTAACATACACACACAGACA